GGGGGCGGGGCAGGGCAGGGCTTGCTCCCCTTGGGGGCATCGATGGCTCCAAGGGGACACCTAGTGGCTAGGGAGGGTAGCGCATCTGGGTGGCCACAGTAGGAGGGGGTGGCTAGAACCTGGGAGGAGGATCAGTTAGAAGTCAAAAATTAAAACTAGTGGGACTAGGACAGTTGGAGTAGGATGCAGAGGAGAGGGTTGACTCTGGACAACAAGGTGGTTTGGTTTAGAGGAGCCCAACAAACCTAAATTCAGACTCCAGCTCTTCCAAGTCCTGGCTGTTTGTCCTGAAGTTTGTAACTTAACCTCTCTGTGCCTCCATTTAAATACTAAATAAGTGGCAGCTGCCATTATTATTTTCACCTTTTTTTAAAAATCATGATATTGGACTGGAGTCAGGTTGGGTGGGTGAAGGGCTGTAGGGGAGGAGATTGGGAAGGGTGGTGAGCAAGTCCTGGAGGGCCACAGATCTGAGGAGGGAAGTGATGGGGAAAGTCTGACAGCAGCAGTAATAGCCCCTTTGATGCAGTGTTTTCCATTTGAGGACATCCCTAGGACTTCACTTCAGGCTGGGAGGGAAATGGTGTTGGGGGAGGAGTGTGCAGGCTGGAGAGAGGGTCATGAGGCCGGAAGTGAGAGCTGGGGCTGGCAGCCAGGCTCCCCTGGGGAGGCTGTGGGTGGGGGAGGGGGAGGCAGCTGGGGAAGGGGTGGGGTGGTCATAGCCGCAGTGGAGAGGGTGGGGCTGGGGACTCAAGGATGTGGGCTGGCGCTTCCCGGCACTGTGCACAGCAGGTTGGGGCCCCCAGCCCCCTGCCAGCCAGCTGGTGTCCCCATGGGCAGGTTCAGACATACTGACCCAGAAGCAGACAGACGGACAGAAGGGCCCTTTTGACTTGGTTGACAGACCAGGGAGGGGGCCAAGAGTATGGCTGCTGGATTGTGGTGGGGAGGGGAGCCAACTAACTGCTTTCTCTCAGATCCTGGAGGGTGAAAGAGAGAGCAGTAGAAAGTCAGATCTGGCTGGGGGACATGCCCAAAGGTCTTCATGGGTGGGTGGAGAAGAGGCACCCACTGGAGAGGAAGTTTTTCCTTTTTGCCAAGATCGCACCCTCAGACCCCAAGTGGGATGTCTCAGGGTGGGGAGGCTTGATGAGCCCCACCCTCAATAAGGGGGGATGGTAGCTTCTGGTAGGCATCTCCAAGAGGGCTTTAAGAGCCATGGGTCAGCCATACTGTTAGAAATCAGACTGGGAGATTCCAGAGTCTGAGCCCCTTCCCTCCTTTGTGAGGTCCTTCCTGCAAGACTAGGAATGAAGTTCTTAGAGCGCTGAGAGCCTGGCCTGGGGCGGGGGATTGGGGTGGGGGGATGGGGGAGGTGGGGGTAGGGAGGGGGGGTGCGGGGGTTGGGGAGCAGGGAGGCAGTCCACAGTCCATAGCCAGGCATAGGAAAGAGCAGAATCTGAATGAACGAGTAGGTGGGACAACGAGGAGCAGCTGAGACCTGGACCCTGAAACCAGGGAGGGGACAGTGGACAGAAGACTGCTTTGCCTGGATGAGCAACAGAAGGGCCCCTCCCATGCCATTCTGTGGCCTTGGGCAAAGTTTCTTTCCTTCTTCTGGTCTCAGTTTCCTCATCTGTAAAATGGGAGGGGCATGAGGTGGCACTAGAACAGTGTCCCCACTTGGGGAGCCAACTAAAAATACAGATTCCCAGATGTCTCTTCAGCTCTCTGAGTCAGACTCCCCTGGACTAGGGCCTGGGTATCTGGAATGTTACACAGCTCCCCCCCGCCCAGAGTTTGGAAGCCAGTGGGTTAGATGATTTTAAGGTTCCTCCCAAACTTAAATTAGACCACAGCTCTAGAAGGAACATTTTCAGGAGTAACTGAAGGGGAGTTGCAGGGGCTGGGAGTGGAAGGAGGCTTTGGACTTAGGACAGAATTAGGAATCCTGCCACTTAGCAGCTATGTGACTTCAGGCAAGTTACACAACTGCTCTGAGCTGGTTTCCTCTGTAACATGGGGATAATAATCCATGCCTCCTGGGTTGCTGTGAAGATTCACTGGGTCATATATGTGGAGGTGCTTTGTAGTATGCAACCTGCTGCCCACTGAAGGGGAACAGGAGTGTCGCCTTCCACCATCCTGTCCCCAAGTCAGCCCCAAAGTCTTCCTGTAGGGTAACGACACTGGGCAGGATGGCAGCCGGAGAGAGTCTACATGTGTCTGTGAAGGTTAGGCCATAGGGATCCGGCCAAGGCCAAGCACTAGGCAGTGGCCGTGGTCAGCCTTTAATACCTTCACAGTGGTCAGGACCCATTCAGCTCCTGAATCCCCGAGATCCCATCTCCTGTGGATGGCCAGGGCCCTGAATGCCCACGTTCCCTTTGCACTCAGACTTGCATGGGTCTAAACCCCAGCTCTGCCCTGATCAGCTCAGGGAGGGAGTCAGTCGGTAAATATTTATGGAGCATCCATAGCCCAGGCACTATCCTGGGGCTAGGGGATACAGCAGTAAACAAGACAAACATGATCCCTGGTCCTGAAGAGCCCACACCCTGGAGGGAGACACAGTAAACAACCAGTCACACGAGTAATTGATTACAGTGGTGATAAGTGCTACGAAGGTGAAATAGAGAGGGCTCTGAGAGGGGCCAGACCAACGCTGGGGGTGGGATGGGAGCTTAGAGAGAGCCTTCCTGATGAAGGTAGAAGAGGGGTTAGGGAGTGTCCCTTTTCATATTCTTATCTGACTCCCACCTGGCATCCTTCTTGGGTCACACTTTTGTGTCTGGAAAGAAGCCTTCACTGGACAAGGAAGTCTTATTGCTGTGTCCTTCTTTCCTTCCTTCCTTCCATCTATCCATCCATCAACTATTTTTGAAGCATCCCTGTGGGCCATGTACTGTTCTGGGTGTTGGGAAATACAGCAGCAAATGAGAGAAATTCTTGCCCTCATGGCACTTAACCACCTTTCAGTGAATGTTTTCCTCACCTGTAAAAATGGAGGTGATGATCATACTGATGTCAGGTTTGCAGGGGGATTAGAAGAGATAATCCATATAATGTGCTAGTGCCCCCAAAGTATGAGCCTATATTTTTGTCTTCACTTTTTCTTTGCAGCTCTTATCCATGAATAATTAAATCATTTATGATTAGCTGATCAATGTCTGTCTACCTAGGCCTTCTGCAAAGTAGACCCTCCATAAATAGTAAGTGTGTGAATAAATAGTATTATTTCATCTCTGAGCCTCCATTTCCTCATCTGCAAAATGGGGTTATTAATAGCCCCTACCTCACAGGATTGGTATGAAGAATTAATGAAACGATGCCTGGACAGCTTCCAGCCCAATGCCTGGCGTGCAGTAGGTGCTCACTAAACCTGAGCTGCGATGGTCCTTTCCAGGCGCTGTCCACGCCCCAAGGCCTGGGCTCAGGCCGAAGCTGCTCCACAGCACACCCAGCTGACAGCCAGCGACTGGCAGAGCCCCCAGGTCTGGGGGTCCCCTCTCTCGCAGGTCAGCGAGGTGTGCGTACTAGAGGGAGAACAGAGGGAGCTGGGGGTGGTACCTGGAGGAGGCCAGGCCCCTGGGCAGGCGGGTGCGGTGGCCCTATGGCCGCCAGACCATTCGAGGTATTCAGACTTCTGTTGCCTGTCTTGTTGCCCACAGAGATCTTCAGTGTGACAGCCCAGGCGGCAGAGCCGAGGGTGAGTAACTGGGGTTCCCCTGGAGTCCTGGAGATGGAGGCAAGAAAGAGGGAGACAGAACCCCTTAATAGGACTTCCTGGCCCTCTGGCAAACGCGGGGCCCTCTGTTCAAGTTTGATCTGGAGTGGTCACCCTGCCCTGCTGAGGGGTTTCCCTCTCAACACAGGGGTCCTTTTCTCCCTGAGCCCATAGATGCTCAAGGTCTAGAAGGGGGTGAACTGTGAATAAGTGAAACTGGGGCTGGTGAGGGGCTCATTGAGCAGGTGGTGGTTTGGGAAAGGCAAGCGGTCAACAAGGGGGTTGGGCTTGAGGAGGGGACCGGAGCTTGGTAAGGGGAATAAGACCTTGTGGGGGTGGGGGCAGGGGCTTGTTGAGGATATGGGAAACTGATGGACTTGGGTGTTCAGCGAGGGACCTCCTGCCCATCTGCCCGGCAGGTCCTGGTCCCGGCTTCTCGCACCCTCATGTCAGCCCCGGCCCCGCCCGGTGGCCCGCGGAGGACAAGGTCAGGATGCGTGTGAAGCCCCAGGGCCTGGTGGTGACTTCCAGTGCCGTGTGCAGCTCTCCTGACTACCTCCGGGAGCCCAAGTACTACCCCGGCGGCCCCCCCACCCCCCGGCCCTTGCTTCCTACCCGGCCCCCTGCCAGCCCACCTGACAAGGCCTTCGCCCATACCTTCTCCGAGAACCCACGCCCACCCCCACGCCGGGACCCCAGCGCCCGGCGCCCACCAGTCCTTCCCAAGGGGGACGACCCGCTGCCCCCTCGTGCGGCCTGTCCCATCTCACAGGCCCACTGCCCGACACCTGCCGGAGACGGCAGCAGCTCCCGCTCCCGACGCCGTTGGGACAACGGGCGGGTGAACCTGCGTCCAGTGGTGCAGCTGATTGACATCATGAAGGACCTGACACGGCTCTCCCAGGACCTGCAGCACAGCGGTGTGCACCTGGACTGTGGTGGTCTCCGGCTTAGCCGGCCACCTGCCCCGCCACCCGGTGACCTACAGTATAGCTTCTTCTCCTCACCCAGCCTGGCCAACAGCATCCGCAGCCCCGAGGAGCGGGCCACCCCCCACCCCAAGTCTGAGCGGCCCAGCCACCCCCTCTATGAGCCTGAGCCTGAGCCTAGGGATAGCCCCCAGCCTGGCCAAGGCCATAGCCCGGGAGCCACGGCCGTGGCCACCGGTCTGCCCCCGGAGCCTGAGCCAGACGGCCCTGATTACTCAGAACTTGCTGACGCCGACATCCTTAGTGAGCTGGCCTCCCTTACTTGCCCTGAAGCCCAGCTGCTAGAGGCCCAGGCCCTTGAGCCACCATCGCCTGAGCCAGAGCCTCAGCTCCTGGACCCCCAGCCCCACTTCCTGGACCCACAGGCACTAGAGCCGCTTGGGGAAGCTTTGGAGCTGCCACCCCTGCAACCTCTTGCTGACCCTCTGGGGCTGCCAGGCCTGGCTCTGCAGGCTCTGGATAGCCTGCCTGACTCCCTGGAGTCACAACTGCTCGACCCCCAGGCACTTGACCCCCTGCCCAAGTTGCTTGATGTCTCTGGCCGCCGTCTGGAGCCCCAGCAGCCCCTGGGGCCCTGCCCACTGGCTGAGCCCTTGCGCCTGGACTTGTGCTCAACCCACGGCCCCCCTGGGCCTGAGGGTCACCCCAAGTACGCCTTGCGGCGCACTGATAGGCCAAAGATCCTGTGTCGCCGGCGGAAGGCCGGACGGGGGCGCAAGGCAGACGCTGGACCTGAGGGCCGCCTGCTTCCCCTGCCTATGCCCACAGGGCTGGTGGCCGCCCTGGCCGAACCACCACCACCACCACCACCTCCACCACCTCCTGCCCTGCCAGGGCCAGGCCCAGTCCCAGAGCTGGAGCCGGAATCTTCCCATCCCCCAGTGGTCCCTCCTCGCAAAAACAAGTGCCGGGGCGTGCGGCGAATGGTGGTGAAGATGGCTAAGATCCCTGTATCGCTGGGCCGGCGGAACAAGACCACGTACAAGGTGTCCTCCTTGAGCAGCAGTCTGAGTGTGGAAGGCAAGGAGCTGGGCCTGCGCGTGTCGACAGAGCCCACCCCGCTGCTAAAGATGAAGAACAATGGGCGGAATGTGGTGGTGGTCTTCCCACCGGGCGAGATGCCCATCATCCTCAAGCGTAAGCGTGGCCGCCCTCCCAAGAACCTGCTGCTGGGTCCCGGCAAGCCCAAGGAGCCAGTAGTGGTGGCGGCTGAGGCAACCACCGTGACAGCGGCCACTCTGGCCATGCCAGAGGTGAAGAAACGGCGGCGGCGGAAGCAGAAGCTGGCGTCTCCCCAGCCATCCTACGCAGCAGACGCCAATGACAGCAAGGCTGAGTACTCTGATGTCCTCGCCAAGCTGGCCTTCCTGAACCGCCAGAGCCAGTGCGCTGGGCGTTGCTCACCACCTCGCTGCTGGACGCCCAGTGAGCCTGAGTCAGTGCACCAGGCACCGGACACCCAGAGCATCTCCCACTTCCTGCATCGTGTTCAGGGCTTCCGGCGGCGTGGTGGCAAAGCAGGCGGTTTTGGTGGCCGGGGTGGGGGCCATGCGGCCAAGGGAGCCCGATGCTCCTTCAGTGACTTCTTTGAGGGCATCGGCAAGAAAAAGAAGGTGGTTGCAGTGGCACCTGCTGGGGTTGGGGGCCCCGGCCTCACTGAGTTGGGACACCCCCGCAAACGGGGCCGGGGGGAGGTGGATGCCGCTACTGGAAAGCCCAAGCGCAAGAGGCGGTCCCGGAAGAATGGGACTCTGTTCCCAGAACAGGTGCCCAGTGGCCCAGGCTTTGGGGAGGTGGGTTCTGAGTGGGCTGGGGACAAAGGTGGTGGCTGGGCCCCTCACCATGGGCACCCAAGCGGGCAGGCTGGCCGAAACTGCGGGTTCCAGGGGACCGAGGCCCGGGCCTTTGCCTCCACTGGGCTAGAGAGTGGGGGGTCAGGCCGGGGCAGCTACTATAGCACAGGTGCACCCTCGGGCCAGACCGAGCTCAGTCAGGAGCGCCAAAATCTCTTCACTGGCTATTTCCGCTCACTGCTCGATTCGGACGACTCCTCCGACCTCTTGGACTTCGCCCTCTCAGCCTCACGCCCCGAGTCCCGGAAGGCATCGGGCACCTATGCAGGGCCCCCAACCAGCGCCCTGCCTGCCCAGCGTGGCCTGGCCACCTTCCCAAGCCGGGGAGCCAAGGCCAGCCCAGGGGCAGTGGGCAGCAGTGGGGCTGGCGCGGACCCCCCATTCCAGCCTGTCCTGCCCACTCGCCAGACCTTCCCGCCAGGACGGGCATCAAGCTATGGGATAACCCCAGCCACTTCAGACTGCCGGGCAGCCGAGACCTTCCCGAAGCTGGCTCCCCCTCCTTCAGCTGTGGCCCGCTCACCTACTACCCACCCACCCACTAACACATACCCGCCCCAGTATGGTGGCTATGGGGCTGGTCAAAGCGTGTTTGCTCCCACTAAGCCCTTTACGGGCCAGGACTGTGCTAATAGCAAGGACTGCAGCTTTGCCTATGGCAGTGGCAACAGCCTTCCTGCCTCGCCCAGCAGCGCCCACAGTGCCGGCTATGCCCCACCACCCACCGGTGGCCCCTGCCTGCCACCCAGTAAGGCCTCCTTCTTCAGTAGCTCTGAGGGGGCCCCCTTCTCCGGTTCAGCCCCCACTCCCCTGCGCTGTGACAGCCGGGCCAGCACTGTCTCGCCTGGTGGCTACATGGTGCCTAAGGGCACCACAGCCTCTGCCACCTCCGCCGCCTCTGCTGCCTCCTCCTCTTCCTCCTCCTTCCAGCCCTCACCCGAGAACTGTCGGCAGTTTGTGGGGGCTTCTCAGTGGCCTTTCCGGCAGGGCTATGGAGGCCTGGACTGGGCCTCGGAGGCCTTCAGTCAGCTCTACAATCCTGGTTTCGACTGCCATGTCAGTGAACCCAACGTGATTCTGGACATCTCCAACTACACGCCACAGAAGGTGAAGCAGCAGACAGCCGTGTCGGAGACCTTCTCCGAGTCGTCATCCGACAGCACCCAGTTCAATCAGCCGGTCGGCGGCGGTGGCTTTCGACGTGCCAACAGTGAGGCCTCAAGCAGTGAGGGCCAGTCAAGCCTGTCCAGCCTGGAGAAACTGATGATGGACTGGAATGAGGCATCATCCGCCCCAGGCTACAACTGGAACCAGAGCGTCCTCTTCCACAGCAGCTCCAAGCCAGGCCGAGGACGGCGGAAGAAGGTGGACCTGTTCGAGGCCTCACACCTGGGCTTCCCGTCATCCGCCTCGGCTGCTGCCTCAGGCTACCCGTCCAAACGGAGCACTGGACCCCGGCAGCCGAGGGGTGGACGGGGTGGCGGGGCCTGCTCGGCCAAGAAGGAGCGGGGTGGTGCAGCTGCCAAAGCCAAGTTCATCCCCAAGCCACAGCCCGTCAACCCGCTGTTCCAGGACAGCCCAGACCTTGGCCTGGACTACTACAGTGGGGACAGCAGCATGTCACCACTGCCCTCACAGTCAAGGGCCTTCGGTGTGGGTGAACGAGACCCCTGTGACTTCATAGGACCCTACTCCATGAACCCATCCACGCCTTCTGATGGCACCTTCGGCCAAGGCTTCCACTGCGACTCGCCCAGCCTGGGTGCCCCTGAGCTGGACGGCAAGCACTTCCCGCCACTGGCCCACCCGCCCACAGTGTTTGATGCTGGCCTGCAGAAGGCATACTCACCCACCTGCTCCCCCACACTAGGCTTCAAGGAGGAGCTGCGGCCACCACCCACGAAGCTGGCCGCCTGCGAGCCCCTCAAGCACGGGCTCCAGGGGGCCAGCCTGGGCCATGCAGCCGCAGCCCAGGCCCACCTGAGCTGCCGGGACCTGCCACTGGGCCAGCCCCACTACGACTCCCCCAGCTGCAAGGGCACAGCTTATTGGTACCCGCCGGGCTCAGCTGCCCGCAGCCCACCTTATGAGGGCAAGGTGGGCACAGGGCTGCTGGCTGACTTCCTGGGCAGGACGGAGGCCGCGTGCCTCAGTGCCCCACACCTAGCCAGCCCACCGGCCACGCCCAAGGCCGACAAGGAGCCACTGGAGATGGCCCGGCCACCTGGCCCCCACCGTGGCCCCGCTGCAGCCTCCGTTGGCTATGGCTGCCCACTCCTTAGTGACTTGACTCTGTCCCCCGTGCCAAGGGACTCGCTGCTGCCTCTGCAGGACACCGCCTACAGGTATCCAGGCTTTATGCCACAGGCGCATCCCGGCCTGGGCGGGGGCCCCAAGAGCGGCTTCCTGGGGCCTATGGCGGAACCTCACCCTGAGGACACATTCACCGTCACCTCCCTGTAGTGCCAACTGAAGTGCCGACTGGACCGTGAGGTTTTGTTCCTGGGTGAGTCTGGGGATGCAGGTGCAGTGGGCAGAGGCTTGGGAAAGGTGGCCCTAGGGGGCTGAGGGGTGAGGACATTAGGGCTCGGGCAAGGGGAAGTGGTATAGAGATGAGCAGGAAGAATTGCAGGATTAAAAAATACGGTGGGGACGGGGGAGATAAGACTGGGGCCTGACAACAGGGAGTAGGAATCCGGGTAGGAGTCTGGAACAGTCTAGGAGAGCAGATGGGGAACCTGGGTAGAGAACCCAGCAGGGGGCTTGGACATTTCAAGGGATCCTGTCATTGAAATGGCCAGAGGACCACAGACTGGATGGGGCCATCTCATCTGGTTCACAAGCATTTAGTTCTCTCATCCATGCTAGGTCCTGAGCCCCAAGAAGCACACACTCACCGCTTGACCTCTTGAAAGAGAGGATGTTTGCATCCCCCTGTGTGAGACCAGAGAAGGGAGAAGCAGGTTGAACAAGGTGATCACCCACCTAAGGCCTATCCAGTGGCCCTATCAGGGTTTGGCCTAGTGTTTTACTGACCCTGCTGGGCACCCTTGTTTCCCCGGGTGCTTCATTTATTCCAAGGTGCATTCTATGGCAAGTGCCAGGCTGAGGATGTGGCCAGTATGGCTTGGTCACATTCTGCAAGGTGGTTTACAGAATGGCTCAAAGTACCCTTTCCTGGTCTTTCAGTGTACCCTTGGAGGTTATGATTCAATGTCTTTGGCCTGAGGTAGGCTCAGGGTGTACAGGGGCTGGTAGGGTGAGGATCCAGAAATGAAGAAGGGGTGCTGGGATCCTGCCATCCCTGGAAGCCTGCAGTCAGTGTTCTATCCCCAGTCAGGATGTTTCAACCCGAGGAAAAGCCAGTCACTCTCCTAAGGCCCGACGCTTTCCAAGAGTCCAGTTTTAGATACTGTTGGTATCAGACACTGTGACCTCATTAGTTGAGGTCACAGTTTTCGTATTCTCAAGCTTTGGTGTCTACAGAAAGGAAAATAAAGGACAGAAAATGCAGCCAACATGGTATAAGGGGGACAGGGTTTGAGGAATTATTTTCCTTGAAGAACAACCTGCTCCAGAAATACAGCCACAACTGTCCCATCAGATCCCACTTTTGGATAACAGAGCTGTCGCAAAATTGGCCCAGACGTGGTGGGTCTGAGGACATGTCTGAGCCCCTTGCCCTCCACTTCTGCTGCCACTGCAGCCTCCTAAGAATCTCTCTTCCTGGAGAAGCCCAAGGCAGTAGCAAGGCTCCTGGAAAGCCCCGTCCCTGCTCTGGGGAAGCTATTTGAGGCCAGGGTGACTCAGGGTCCTGGAGTCATCAGCAGTGGAAACTTATTACCCCTCTCTGCCTGGCCTCAGCTCCCCTGGGGCCTAAAGGGGGCAAGGGACAGCACATGGCAGTCAGGAGGCCTGACAGAGGACCATTTCCCAGTTGACCACCAACTTGGTACGTCCCCTTGGCCAAGCCTTTGCCCCTCACTGGACCTCAGTTTCCTCATCTGTTCAAGGAAATTGATTTCATCTCTTCGGTCCTTGCAGCCCTGCATGGCATAGATAATGGATCAAACTTTTTTTTGGGGGGGCAGCATATTTTCCCTCCTAATGAAGCCAGGCCAAGATTAAAATGGTCTTCCATTCCCCGTGTGTCTCATGGTAAGCCGCACGGCCACAGATCTGAAGCAGGCCAGGGAGAAGCTGCTTAGGGTTTAAAATGTCAAACTCTTGATCCTTCTCACTAGAGGGGAGATGTCTCATGGATAATCCAGAAATGTGAAATAATCCAAAAAACATTTCTCCCAGGCTCTGGATGGGGAAATGGACGGGTGTGGGGGCTGGGTGTTCAGACAGGTCACAGCTCAGTGAAATACATAATGGAACCACCCAGTGAGGCCTGAATGCAGGAGGAACTGGGAAGCCATCCAGCCTCACATTCTGGCCCTGCTCCCCTCTCAGCGCTGTGGGTTGACAGCACTACCCTCAAACCAATGCATTTGGTTTTCTAGAGACATCTGTCTAGTACCTATTACATTCCACGCATTAGGGACACCGTGGTGAACACCACAAACAAGGTCTTGGCCCTCAGGGGGCTTCTAGTCTAGAGAGAGAGACAGTAAACAGAATGACACAAAGCATTTGGGAAAGATAACCAGAGAAAGAACCGTGCAAGACAGAAAAAATAGGAGGCCATGAGAGCCTGCAACAGGCTGACCAGACCCTGAAGCTCAGGACTGAAGGGTGAGTGGGTGTCAGCTAGACAGGGAGTAGGAAGAGCTTTGTGGGCAGAGGGAACAGCAGTGTGTAAAGCCCTGAGGCAGGAGGGAGATGAGCTTTGAGGAACTGATGGGAAGTCAGTAACGCTGAGTGCTGGGGCAAGATAAGCAGAGCCGGATCATGCAGTGCATTGGAAGGAGTTTAGACTTTATTCCAAGACAGAGGGGGGAATCATTGAAGGATTTTTAACTGGTATGCTCTGGGTCACATTGGAGCAGGACTAGCACTACAGTAGGGAGACCAGCTGCAGGGCCAGGCAAGCAATGATGGTGGCTTGGACAAAGGTGGTGGTAGACCTGTCCAAGATGGCACTCAAGCTGGGGTTGTGCCAAGAATTGATTGAAATCATGTAGGAGTAAGGAAGAGTTGGGGATATAGAGGAGGAGAGTGGCAAAGAGGAAGGCATTAATTAATTAAGGTCATCACACTGTCAACAAAAGGCTTAAAACAGGGCAATGACGTGCTCATTCACCAACAGACAGTGAGTATTTTGGACACTGGGCACTGGAGAAGCAGTAATTCAGCTTGGCCTCACCTCGTGAGCCCCTCCGTGCCTGTCCCAGTACCAGGCACTGGGGGGACAAAGCAGACACAGCCCCTGTCCTGGAGAGCCCAGCGGCTACCGCAGGAAGCTAAAACAAGTACGCAAAGAACTTGGAAAAGCCTGGTGGAAAGTGACAGGTGCCCAGAAGCAGGGAAAAACAAAGATTATGCCCAGGAAGGTGGGTGTTGGGGTCAGAAGTCATCTCCCTGCCACCGTGGTGAGAAAAGGGACACACATTTTTTCTGGGCCCTTTATGTAGCACTGCCTCACTGACTCTGCACAGCAACCTGGGCGGTGGATGTGCTCCGCACCCAGCGCAGAGTTGAGGAAATGCCTGCCGCTGTGGAGCTGGCTGACACTTAGCCAAGATTGGAACCCAGTACTGCTCCCTCCAGAACCTGAATACTCTCCCATACCGCTGCCTTTTACCACCCTCAAGCTCCTGACTCCCCATCTGCAAAATGAGGGGTTGGATTCAGTGATCCCTAAAAGTCTTTCTGGGTCTGGCATTTTAAATGGATTTTGAGATTCTGTGGAAGAAGCTGCATTTGAGCTCGACTTTGAAGAATAAGCAAGATTTGGATACACAGAAACTGGGGGGAAGGGCTTTCCAGGCAGAGGGAACTGTGGGCAAAGGCCGGTTACATCCCAGTGTGAATGAGAAGATTAAAACTCAGAGGGGCCAGAGTGGGGGATCTGGGACCCGGCTGGTCCTGAGAGCCAAGGCTAATGGGACAGAGAAGGGAGGAGTCAAGAGAGGGAGAGCGCTGGGAGATGTTCCATGGGCCAGTGCAGACATCTTCCCCAGCTTCCTAGATGGAAAACAGAGCCAGACAGGCTGGCTCTGCATCGGGCAGCCCTCATGGGCTGAAGATCAGCCTGACCAGACACTGGGGACAGTGGTGAGAGGGTGGGAGAGGCCCTCCAAGGTGTTCAGGAGTTATCAGGGCCTCTCCCCTTCCCACTCCCTCTCTGGCTTGGACCTGAGGCCAGGAGAAATGTCACAGGTCCTCCAAGGTTACGCCAGCTGGGGCCTGAAAGGGACAGGAAGCAGTTTCCGAGGCCACCATCCAGCCGGGGTCAGCGGGCATGCCCGGACCTGGGCCAGACCCCAGCTGCTCTGGGCTTTGTCTCCATGTCTTGAAACTTCAAGAGGTCATTTGATCTTGCCTCTGGCTCTGAGCAAGAGGCCCTCACGTCAGGGGTCAACCATTCCTGCCCTGCCTCTTCTAGATACCTCTATCTGGCTCTCTGCGAGGTTGTCCTCCCCTAGATCCTATCTCTTGCCTCTCCTGCAGCCATTTTCAGGCCAGGCCTTCTTGTGCTGAGCCCTCATTTCCTGGAAGTGTAATCTTTCTGTGAATGTGTCCTCTCATGTTCCTCCTCTCCCATTTCCGTGGACTTGGAAGAACCCCAGGGAGTAGGGCATGATACGAGGGTGGTGGCTAGCAGCTTACCCATGGACGCAGACAGGCCTTTGTGCACAAGCCAGTTCCATCCCTTACCAGCTACGTGACCTGGTGAGTCACTTCACCTCTCTGCGTCTCATGAGAATTAAATGAGATTATACGCGAAGCACTTAGCCTAGTTCCTGGCACATACCAACCAGTTGCCATCGAGTCAGTTCTGAATGATGGTGACCCCAAGTGTGTCAGAGTAGAACTGTGTTCCATAGGGTTTTCAATGGCTGATTTTTCGGTACTAGGTTGCCAGGCCTTTCTTATGAGGTGCTTCTGGGTAGACTTGAACCTCCAACTTTTGGTTAGCCACTGAGCGAGTTAACCATTTGCACAACCCAGGAGCTCCCCCTGGCACGTAGTATGTGATTGATAGATGGGTAGGCAGGTAGATAAATACCTCCCTACAGACTGAATTCTGGGGCCTCTGGCACAGCCTGAGTCACACACCTCTGACCCTTCCCTTGCTTAGGACCATGTAGCCAGGTCTCCTTCACATGCCCTCCTTGCCTCCTGCCTAGGAAGAATCTTGTATTCTAGTGTAGGGTTGGGGCCTTTGGAGGGAAGCTTTGAAATACCACCTAGTCTTAGTAACTGGGCTGAGTCCTCCCTGGGGGGCCCAGGGACAAGGTGAGTCATAGGCCCTGCCCCCATGGGCAACAGCACCCAGATTCATAAATGACTTAGGTCAGCTGGAAACCCTGTCCGTATAGTGATGCATACCAATCC